TGGGGTTGGGTGGACTGTCCCGGGCTCTGTGGGGCCGGGCGGCGCTGCTGCACTGGGCCCCGGTCTGGATGGGCCTGGGCCCCCTTTCCCTGGCGGGTCGCGGAGTATGGGGGTGCCTACTGGGGTCAGCGGGGGAGCTGGCCCCAGGGAGGGGTCACTTGCCCCTCCCTTCTTTCCCTCCCCATCTCCAGCTGCCTCCCTCTTCCCGCTCCACCACAACCACCCACACATGCAGGGCCTTGGAGTAGGGGTATGTCACCAGGGTGCAGAGGAGGCTACCCCCCCCTCTGTCCCCTTCTGGCTGCCTCTGCCTCAATTTTATCCCACAACTTAGACATTCACATTACTCACACTCTCATTACACATACATATAGGATCTTGAGGGGGGGCACGATACACGGAGTCCAAAGTACCATCAGGGTGTACACCCCACCCCTGGCATCGTTGCCCACCTCTCAATTTTAAATACATGTAGACATTGAGGGCTAGCAGGAGGGACTATGCGCTTACCTGCTGCTCTCTGGCAGGTAGCTCCATGCCCTCCTGGGTTTTAAATGCACCTTAGAACACACATGCATCAACACTACAATGAGCGGGTGGAGGGAGGTTTGGAGTCTTCTCTCACCCCCGTTCTCTGCGACCTGCTGGAGCGGAGTTGGCCGTCCGACTGCGGTCTGGAGTGTGGGGCCTCCCTGCTGCTGCGGAGTCGGGGCGGTCTGCCTCCCCCCACCGCAGGGAAAAGGGTAACACCACCTGGGTCTGGGTGCAGTTCCCCCCTCCAGGGGCAAGGGTACCTAGACCCAGTTCGTAGAGTACGCTTGGGGAGTGTGATTGTGTGTACAGCGTCTCTTTATGTCTGTCTCCACGTTGGTTGAGTGTGGAGTAAGTGCATATGAGAGCATGAGGGTGGGAATGGATGTTTGTATCTGTGTGTGCCTGTATGTCTGTGTCTATATGTCAGGTTGGGTATCAGACGCCACCTCTCTGGGGACATCTCAGGCCCTCCAAGGTTTGGAGGCCTATCTCCCCCCACCACCACTTCCCCTGCCAGTGGCGGACTCCCTCAGACATCGGTGCGTTGGTGGTTCTTTGTGTCCGGGGATGGGCGTCCAGGTACACACCGGCTCACTCCTTGGTGGCTGCTTATCGGGGCCTGGAGCCTGGGGCTTGCTCGGGCCACTTCGGAGGTGGGGTGCCCCCGGCCTCTCGGCCTGGGGCTCGGTCACTCAGGCACGGCTGGCTGCCGGCGGAGCTCACGGGCGCGTCACTGCAACTCCCCCTGGCTTCTGCTCCGCGGCTGCTGAGTGAGCCCTCATCTGGGACTCTCCTCAGCTCTTTCTGGGACAGTGGCGCGGCTGCCCCTCTGTTGGTCTTCCTTGGTCTCTTGTGTTCTGGGGGCCTCTGGATGTCTGGAGTTTTGATCTCCTCCATACCTGCTTCATGCCCTGGAGGACGGGGCTGTGGCCCCCCCACACCCTCTAGCAGATCATTACATGAAGGAACCTTTTAAAAAAAAAACAAAAAAACAAGCGCGTCCATGCTCACAGGTGTACACACGGGTGATCACACCCACAAACTACACCCTTTTTGGCTCCTACCTCAAAGCACACTGTGTTCTGTTGATCTTATGTGCTGCACAATAATGTTTAATATTTAGTATTTACTGTCATATTCCCATATATCATTGTGATGTTGTTTATTCTATTACTCTTGTTCTCTTCTGCTTGTTTTCTTTTTTCTTTCTCAGCAGGTGACCCAGGTGATTGATATATGCATTTTTTTTTCTCTGCCCGTTCTGTTGGTTTTTGTCTTTTGCCCTTCTCCCCCGTCCCTCTTCTCAGCTGTTTCTCTTTCCCTCTTTCTTTCTCCCCTTCTTTCCCCCAGTCAAGTCTGTCCCGTATTCAGTAAGTGAAAATAAAATAAACAATAAAAGGTGAATCAAATGGACCATTACGGCAAGGCTGGGATGGTCAATTTGGTAAAGTAAATCCGTTGGGCATCTTTCTTTGCCTTTAGACAACAATTCTGATGGCAAAAGAGCCAAACGGGACAGGCAAAAAAAAAAAAAAAACGAAAAAAAGAAAAAAAAAATTTGTTCATCTGAAATTTTTTTTATGTTGTGAATTTGAAACCTTTGTAAATATATCCTCCACAAAAAAATTCTGCAAATATATGCATCCTTAATTCTGTTGACTAGCTAAGCGTGATTAAACTTTCAAGCTAGCAAGAATCTACAGGGAGTGCAGAATTATTAGGCAAATGAGTATTTTGTCCACATCATCCTCTTCATGCATGTTGTCTTACTCCAAGCTGTATAGGCTCGAAAGCCTACTACCAATTAAGCATATTAGGTGATGTGCATCTCTGTAATGAGAAGGGGTGTGGTCTAATGACATCAACACCCTATATCAGGTGTGCATAATTATTAGGCAACGTCCTTTCCTTTGGCAAAATGGGTCAAAAGAAGGACTTGACAGGCTCAGAAAAGTCAAAAATAGTGAGATATCTTGCAGAGGGATGCAGCAGTCTCAAAATTGCAAAGCTTCTGAAGCGTGATCATCGAACAATCAAGCGTTTCATTCAAAATAGTCAACAGGGTCGCAAGAAGCGTGTGGAAAAACCAAGGCACAAAATAACTGCCCATGAACTGAGAAAAGTCAAGCGTGCAGCTGCCAAGATGCCACTTGCCACCAGTTTGGCCATATTTCAGAGCTGCAACATCACTGGAGTGCCCAAAAGCACAAGGTGTGCAATACTCAGAGACATGGCCAAGGTAAGAAAGGCTGAAAGACGACCACCACTGAACAAGACACACAAGCTGAAACGTCAAGACTGGGCCAAGAAATATCTCAAGAGTGGTTTTTCTAAGGTTTTATGGACTGATGAAATGAGAGTGAGTCTTGATGGGCCAGATGGATGGGCCCGTGGCTGGATTGGTAAAGGGCAGAGAGCTCCAGTCCGACTCAGACGCCAGCAAGGTGGAGGTGGAGTACTGGTTTGGGCTGGTATCATCAAAGATGAGCTTGTGGGGCCTTTTCGGGTTGAGGATGGAGTCAAGCTCAACTCCCAGTCCTACTGCCAGTTTCTGGAAGACACCTTCTTCAAGCAGTGGTACAGGAAGAAGTCTGCATCCTTCAAGAAAAACATGATTTTCATGCAGGACAATGCTCCATCACACGCGTCCAAGTACTCCACAGCGTGGCTGGCAAGAAAGGGTATAAAAGAAGAAAAACTAATGACATGGCCTCCTTGTTCACCTGATCTGGACCCCATTGAGAACCTGTGGTCCATCATCAAATGTGAGATTTACAAGGAGGGAAAACAGTACACCTCTCTGAACAGTGTCTGGGAGGCTGTGGTTGCTGCTGCACGCAATGTTGATGGTGAACAGATCAAAACACTGACAGAATCCATGGATGGCAGGCTTTTGAGTGTCCTTGCAAAGAAAGGTGGCTATATTGGTCGCTGATTTGTTTTTGTTTTGTTTTTGAATGTCAGAAATGTATATTTGTGAATGTGGAGATGTTATATTGGTGTCACTGGTAAAAATAAATAATTGAAATGGGTATATATTTGTTTTTTGTTAAGTTGCCTAATAATTATGCACAGTAATAGTCACCTGCACACACAGATATCCCCCTAAAATAGCTAAAACTAAAAACAAACTAAAAACTACTTCCAAAAACATTCAGCTTTGATATTAATGAGTTTTTTGGGTTCATTGAGAACATGGTTGTTGTTCAATAATAACATTATTCCTCAAAAATACAACTTGCCTAATAATTCTGCACTCCCTATATAAGTAAGCACTTGGCGACAGTAGGAAGAAAAAAAAAACCTTTTAAGAGGAAGAAACCTCCTGCAGCACTAAGGTCAGGGAGGGGTGGTAATCTGGCACGAGGGGTTGGGTGAGTGGAGGAAGACGGAAAGAGATTAACAATAACTAACGATTAATTAAAACCAATGATTGAATCATTGTTGTATAAACACACTGTATAAAAAAAAGAGGTGAGTGAAGAAGAAGAGCATCATGCAAACCTCCAGCAGCCTAGACCTATTGTAGCATAACTAAGGCTGTGTTCAGGGTCACCAGATCCAGCCCTAACTGTCCTAAGTCTTATTTAAAAATGGTAAATGGACTGATTCTTATATAGCAGTTCCTACTCTCCCAGAGTACTCAAAGCGCTCTACACAACATGCCACATTCAGCCAAGAACTATCTTCTATACTTAGAAGTGCTTACTAACTACCTACTAACTACTATGTACCAGAGAGCAACTTGGAGTTAATATCTTGCCCAAGGATATTTGGCATGCAGACTAGGGGGAGCCAGGGATTGAACCACCAACCTTTCAGTCAGTAGATGATCCGCTCTACTTCCTGCCACCCCGGTTCTTAATTTTTTAAAGAACACACCATACCAAGATATGCCAAGGTTTCAACTAAAAGCTCTTTGGAAATCACTTTTCGATGTAAAAATACTCTTATGCCTGTCAAACTGTGTTATGTTTGGCATTTATCATACAATCAAAATAGTTTTTTTTGTGCCTGAAGATACAATTTAAAATGTGTGCAGATACAACACTGTTTCACGCCTTTCCTTTTTTTGTCTGAAGTTCACAGGTTAATGTTAACAAAAAACATTCCACTGAAAATGATCAGGTACAAAGACCGGACTGAAAATTTGTGGAAAAAGCAGCCGATATCCAAACCTTTGGAAGAACCTTCAGAAGGCATGGAGAACTTTTGCTAAAGACCATTTTTAAAAAAACATTCAATATGATCTGGTTCCTTGGTAGCAAAATTTGAAGAAAATAGGGGAGGACCAAGACAACCTCAAAGGGTTTCAAACCCAACCTTCAAACAGTTGTTCTAAAACCTTTCATAACCTTTTAGGCATTTCAATCATACAGAAGGTCACAAATTAAACCTAACAACAGAAGTTCAACATCGCATGTTTACAAGCAGCAGCTCTACAACATGTGCAGGTGTTACAGTACCTGGCTGATGGAAAGATGGGGAGAGCTCCCTGGCCACAGCTCGGGCAATATCAGAATCCTGGCAGGCTGATTGTGAAGCCTGATCTGCACACTCTGCTTTGACCCGGGCATGGGACGTCCTGCAAGAATCCATATACTCATTAGTAACTAACATACTCAGCATAGTGTGCTCTGTCTGGTTTATTTGGAAGTGTTTCAATAGTTTCCATGGGGCTGCCATCTGGGGCTTCTAAAAAGCATTGATATGCAAGGCAGCTGTGAAGAAATGTGACGCACACAGCTTTTAGGTTTTTTTCTCTCCTTTGATGTTGGCTGGACATTTCTCTTAATTGTAGACTTGACAACGATAAGCCTTCGTCTTTGTGTGTTTTTGACTTGGCTAGTAACTGAAGAGTTTTTCTCTTAATCAAGGAAAGGATTTTGTAAATATCTACTTTCGTTGCCTTGGGGGGTCTTTCAGGGCTTTTAGTGTTGCTGAATTTATTTGATTTGATTTTGATATTTTTCTAAAGGAATAAACTTCACTTCTTTTATCTCCTTAATGATGAAATAATGAGGAAACTAACACAGATGTTTGTTTACCCCCTCCAAGAGCTTCCCAGATGTCTTAGGGATGGGATATAAACCCCTAAGAGCTTTCTTGGTGCTGTACTGAGGAATGTGGTTTCTCTGTCAATCTAACAAAGTATTTCTGCCAAACTAGCTAAAGAGGTAAAAACCAAAGGGCGATTAAAATGGAACAGTATAGAAAAAGAAACATTAAAATTATGTAGAGGGTTACATGGGTATCACATTTGATTAGAAATATGCATCAATTTTGATGAACACTATTCAGCTCATCAAGACTTAAAATGGTGAATGGACTGATTCTTATATAGCACACTTCTACTCTCCTGGAGCACTCACAGCACTTTAGATCACATTCATCCATTCACAGCCATGCACACAAGCACTTTCTTCTACACTTTAAGTGCATTCTATCTAAGCATTCACACACATGCATACTCTGATGGATGTATCGGAGAGCAACTTGGGGTTAGTATCTGAAGGTCAAAGTGATGCAACATTTGAATCCAAAATTACATAAAATCCCTGCTGTGATCATTACTAAAACCAATCAGCTGATCTATACCACAGCAACAGTGATCCTTGAGATGCTTGGCTATAAGTTGACCAGCCACAAATAGCAATACCCGCCATGCAGAAAGAGGCTGAGATCAAGGGAAAACTGCAGGAAGTTAGCAAAATATTTAAACTGCAGAAAGGTATGAGGAAGAATGGAGTATAGAAGAAGTACAACAAGCTGCTAATTCTGAGGCCTTTGAAACAACCAAACAAAGATACACAGTCTTGGCTAACCGCCTTAAGAGGTATACCAGAAGTAGAAACCATGAGAATAAACCAGATGTTCTCTACTAAACCATCAAAGATGCATTAATATAAGGCAGGAAAACAATATGAGAGCAGTCCCACCAAGGCTGGAGATGAAGCAACACTGGAATAGCATATGGGAGATGGATGCAACACAACAACAATACTCAGTGTTTAGTGGATCTAAGAGCACCCCATAGCAACCACTCTAAACTGCATGTCATGTGATGTGACCATCACATCCAAGAAAGAGTCTCAATCATGAGTTCGCCAGCACCAGGCCCGCACATCATTCACACCTACTGCCTAAGAGCCTAACTGTATTCAGTGAGCACCTGGCAGAACAAATGAACCAGCTGCTAATGGATGCAACTGGAACAGCTAACTGAAGGCTGGACAGTCTTGATTACCAAGGACCCTTTGAAGGGACTGGTCCCATTCAGAAGGGACTGGTCCCATCTAACTAACGTCCAATAAACTGCCTAACACCACATGGAAGCCTCTGCCAATGTAATTGTAACCTCTCTGTAACCTACAGAGAAATAACATCGTGGAAGAGACAAAAAGTGAGTAAAAAATGTCCTAAATGCAGTTAGAATTTCTTTAGAACTATAAATTAAATTTCTTTTAGCAATTATTGTTTTTTAATGTCACAATTCCAACCCTGCTCCTTTATCCGGGCTTGGACCGGTGTTCTGAGAAACCATCCTACTCTGACAAATCGTCCTACCCGTATTATAATTTGACGGTGACTTGTGACTAAACCTAACCCTACCCCTAACCATAACCCTAACCATAATGGATTGGATTTATATAGCGTTTTTCAAGGCACCCAAAGCGCTTAAAAGCACGCCATAACCATAACCTTAAGAAGTATTCCAGATGGGTGAGAGAAAAATCTGGATGTTAATTCGGCTTTTGTGTCACAATTCCAACCCTGCTCCTTTACCTGGAGATCCTTTACTGGCTGGACTGGCAAAAGTGACCCGAAATAGGCACTCTGGTGGAGTTACTGTGTGTGTGTGTGTGTGTTTATAAGTAGTTTTAAACCTTGTGATCCACAAAACAGCATAACAGTAAAAGAAGAACTGACTGCGTTACAGTCAGTGCGAGAGCAGCGGCTTCGCTCATGCGCGATTCATTTGCAGTTTGGACGCATAGGGGTGAACATCTCTGTGCCCTGATAGCAGATGGGGGAGGACTATCATCCGCCTGTGAGTGCTTTGGCACGGGTGAGGTGCCCACGGCAGCACCGCTGCTTGTTGAGAGTAAGAGCAATATGCATTTTCACGTCAAAAAGTCCTCATAAATAAGTCTCCAATAATACCAGAAAAAGTCGCCAGATTTGTCGCTAGTTGCTTTTTAGAAAAAAAGTCTCTAAGGGGGTCTGAAAACTCGCTAAATATAGTGACAAAGTCGCTAAGTTGGGAACACTGGAAATAATTTAGACAGTTTGTAACTCTTAGTGATGCCGCAGTGTTCGTTTGACTTTGGGACCTGAAGGACACGGAGTTTTGGACCCAGATCACTCCACGGGGCTCCTGAATACGGCAGCCGTAATGCTCCAGCAATCCATCAAGCGGTGCGGCTTCATAGCTTACCAAAGTTGTACTGAAACATTTTTGACAGATCTCTGCGCGCCATGCACCACATAAAATTGGTACAACCAGAATTCACACATAAGGCGCACTGACGATTTTTGATAAAATTAAAGGATTTTAAGTGCGCCTTATAGTGTGTAAAATACGTGATACAGAAGAAAAGAATATATCGCGATATATATCGTTACTGCACTTGCTTCAAATTATACAGTGATATGGATTTTAGGCCATATCGCCCAGCCCTACCTTGTCCCCACTGCTGTTCTACGTAAGCCTGAACAACAAAAAGATGGAAAGTAGTCAGAACTGAGCAGACTGCACTATCAGAATGCAATATTCCAGATATTGAGGATAGCTAGAATTACATGGGAATACAAGAGGTGAACTGAACAATGAAGAGGCCACTAGAGAAGCTGCCTTCGCCAAAGAGCAAGGCAAATCCTGAGGAGTCTGCTGAATGGGAAGAACAAGCTCTAGTTAATCAACACCTATGCCCTACCAGATACCCTGCTGGAATAATAAGCTAGCCAAGGGAGGAGATAGAAACCACTGACATTAAAAAAAAGAAAAGCCTTTACCACGTATCGAAGGTTTCATACCAAATCCAGGCCAACGAATAGTGAGTGTAGAATTACTATCCAGGATGTAAGAACAACAACAACAATCCATCAGTACATCAGAAAGATGGCCAGGAATGATCATGTGCTTGGTGATACCTCAGGCAGCAGAAACCCAAGAGAGAAAAGGAACAAGAACAGCAAAGATCATAAATACTAGTTGGCAGATCATACATGGAAAGCTATAATGAAGTGGATGGCATAGTATGCAGGAACACCGTTGCAGAGTATGGCCAAGGCTAACCAGCCAGACATAGGCTGTAGTGATAAGATGTAGCAATAGCAACATCAGGAAATAGGAACAAGATACCTGAGAAATAACAAGGGCTGAGAGAGGAGATAGAAAATACGTGGAAGCTGAAGGCAACTGTTGTCCCTGTAGTAATCCGAATACTCGGGTCACTGTGCCCAAAATTGAGTGAGTGGCTCCAGTAGATTCTAGGTATGGCATCTAAAATGGGTTTCTGGGGCTGAGATGCATGCCGGCAGAGGAGATTGAGGTGGAAGTGATGCTGGTGTTGGCTTGACTGGTGGGGACTTCGGGGGTTGGTTAGGAGTACAGGTGAATATGCAGGTGTCACAGGAGGTCAGATCAGTGAGGCAGTGGGAGGAGGGCATCTAGGGGTGCTGATGATATTTGAGATGGGGGATGTGCAGTTAAAACTGTTGAAAAACAGGCTTGAAATGGTGTGTTAGTTTTACACCAGATGTAACCAGACTCAACCCTTTAAAAAAGTTTAGACAGAATATTTTTCCAAAGGTTTTGGGGATTTAATGGTTACTTTTTCACATAGGGCAGGTAGGGTTGGATAGCTTTTTTTCTTTTAATAAACTAAATGAGCATTTACATACTGTATTTTGTATTTACTTGGGTTATATTTGTCCAGTTTGTCTATATTTGATCATCTGAAACACGTGACACATATGAAAGACAATCCCAAACTAACAAGCAGCAAATATTTTTTCATTCCACAGAATACTAAGTACCATATGCTTACTATGAAGTTTCAATTACATTTGTAAGCCAGTGTGTCAAAATGAGCAATAAAATGTCTTTGTGTCAAGCCAAAATATGCAGAGTAGTATTAAGAGTATTACTAATAGTATTTAATAATGAGCAGTATATGCTCTGACAATAGTATAGATAAAATATGGATAAAATTTTGTATAGTATATACTACCCAATATACTTCCAATATAGTAAAGAAAAAGGTGGTAAAAGTAGTTGTAACTTCCTTATGGTTCTCAGGATATTTTACCTGGAGATGGCAATCTCAACTTTGGTTCTGGCGATGGCTGCTGCTCTCACTGCTCCTTCAATGGCACGATCCACTTTTTGTTTGGTCTTGGTATTCTTTAGTGGGAACAGCTGCTTCCTGATACCCCGGATCAGCATATTGTTCTTGTACTTCCCTTCTTCCTTCGTCCCATTAGGAAAGATGGTGCAGCCATAGCCATGGCGTTTATTATTCAACCACTCGCCTTCATATTTCATGCCATTAGACCGCTCAGAGATACCAAAGCCACTGCGTTTGTCATTTTTCCACTCGCCCACATA